TTGGACATGTTGTATGGTATGCAATTGTCAAAATTGAGATAAGCAAAGCCTTCAGTAATATTGCAATTGTATTGTTATATTTTCCTATTGGTAACAAAAGTGCTTCAGCTCTTTCTCTGAATTTTTCACTATCACATGAAGTTCATAGAATTCTAGTATTACTGTGAAATAAATGATTTGCTTAGGGCTGCAAACCAGCTTCTATGAGCTGCATTTCTATGGCCACAGACCCTCCAACATGACTCACTCCACCTAGTACAGAACACCCTGACCCTGTCTCTACTTTTCTTATTACAATCTCCTGAGCTAAGTCAGTGAACTCTTGAAGGGTTTTTGAAAAGCCCAATTCCAGTTTAAAATAAAAATAAAAAACAATCAAATGCCCAGCAGTTATTGAAACCAAAGCAGAATGTTTTCTGCAATACTCTGCTTCTTCCTGGTCTCTGGCACATTCGTTGATCCATCAAATGTTATTAAAATTACACAAAATTAAACAAATGTATTTTTTCCATCATGAGTTTACTACTTACCTCTTTTATATGTAGAATGGTACCATTGGGTGGCCGAACAAACACAGGCCGATTATCATTAACATCAATCACCTCTACTTTTAACATGGTGGTCCCCCACAGAGGAGGTCTGCCTTTGTCAGTGGCTACAACTGTCAAATTGAATCTTTCAAAGGACTGTAGGAGTCTTCGGGAAGTTATTAGTCCAGAGTTACTCTCAATGAGGAATGCATCTAAGGAGATGTCACAAATAAAGTTTTTATTACGTATTTTACTTGAACCAAAAATGTGCATATATGTAAATAGAGTATTGAAAACATTATATAAAATTAAATGTTTACCAGTTTAGATGTTCATGTAAGCTAATTAGTTCTACCAAATGGCCAATGCTGACTAACTGAAACAATGGACTTGACATTAAAATGTTGATAGAATTCTAAACCTTTCTTGGCTCCATAAGCCATGTTACTGGTGAGAGAATCTTCCCATGTTCTGGGAGAGTAGAAGCCAGACGATAATGCTTAAAAACATGACTGGATTGCTTCTACTCATTTCTCCTCAATTTCCATCCAGTTGGGGATAAGCAAGGCATGGGTTTGCTAAATTTATTTTTAATTTAACTATTACTAGTGACCAAAGTAGTAGGAGGATCCATTCCCACTTCCCTGTTCCTGTGCATTTTATCAATGCACACAAATGAATGCATTCTGAATGGGCTGCCAAGTCACAGCAACATAACAAAAAACAGACATGCAGTTGTTTTTCAAACCAGTGCACCACAGTGCACAGAAGCCTGTTACCGTGAATTGTGAGGTGCTGCAATGCATGTGCATCAGAGCTGTGTTGCCTTAGTGCAGTGGGCTGCCATTCAAAATGAATGGCAGTGCAACATACTAACACACATAACATGTGTTAACGTACATTGCTGTAACGTGTAGTTACAAAAGTGTGTTTTGGCCATAAAAGTGACTACTGTTTTTTTTTTTATATTTGATCCTAGATTATCCACAAAGTTTCAGCATGAGAGTGGGAAAATGCTTCACTTAGAGGATTACGGCAAAATATCACCAAATACTAACCAGCTTCTTTAGCATAATTGAAGTTCTGAAGTGCCCAGAAACACACTCCAAATGAAGGAATTTCCAGTGTGAGAAGACATCTGATATAGGAAGTAGGATACTAATAGTAGCTTATGTTGCATTAGAAAGGGTTAAAGTTAAAAAGACTTGTTTACTGTATATTTTGCCTACCACAGAAGTGGGAAAAGCAGAAGGAGTGGTTTCTTTTGCATATAAAAGAGTTATGCAACACAAGAGGAACCTTCCAAGCATTGGAAATTACAACATCTCCAAACATGTAAATTGAAAACTTTTGCCTTTGCACATTTAGTTATATATCAAAGAGAGAGAAAAAAAAAACTAGAACACATACCAGCACCAGGGCCCTGCAGATTATAGGTCACCACACCGTTGTCACCCTCGTCCAGGTCTGTGGCTGACATAGTGATAACAGATGTGCCCTCTGGTTCATTCTCATACACGCTGGTACTGAACTGGCTTTTAGAGAACTGCGGTCTGCAGTCATTAACATCCAGGACCGTAATAAGCACCTTATAACATGTGCGCAAAAAAAAAATGTTTGTGTCAATAAATAAAGTATCACACACTTCATGGCACAAAGAATATCAAGAATGCAATATTTAACCAAATACATAACTTGGTATTTTCATTGGCTCTGATCCATCTGTCTTGTGTGTAATTGTGCAATTTGTTTTAGATCTTTTCAGATCAGGCATTATTTGTGTCTGGTAATAATCTTGAGATATAAAAATGTAGTACAACATTCTATCAAATATTGCATGTCATTTATGGGTACATTCTACAAAATGTCACAGACTAGAGATATGTGGTAATGAAACATTTGTAATATGTGTGTAGCTTTAGACCTATTTGACTGATAAATGGTGAATGCATGAGCCATCTCCAGCTTTTCCAAATACTGTTATGAAACCTGCCCTGCCAAACAATACTGTAGTTTAGTTCATGAAGCTCACTGCAGTACATTTTAGCATCAAGAACTAACAGTAATTTAACAGTAAGCAGATGTGTATCAAAAACTTATGATCATGCTGAATCACATTGTTTATAGTGTGATATGTATTAAAAAGGTGACTTTATTAATATAATATGCAATATAGCAAAATATGCATATATCTATATACACAGAATATATCAAATATGTATTAAATGTGAGGTCCTTTCCATGAGGAATATGCTGAGTCATGGTATCATAGATGGTCGAACGTGATAAGCATCAGAAGTACCACTTTTTCTAATTGGGCGTGGCTGATCCATAACACTTATCCTGATACACACATACGCACACGTGCTGAGTCATGGTATCATAGATGGTCGAACGTGATAAGCATCAGAAGTACCACTTTTTCTAATTGGGCGTGGCTGATCCATAACACTTATCCTGATACACACATACGCACACGTGCTGAGTCATGGTATCATAGATGGTCGAACGTGATAAGCATCAGAAGTACCACTTTTTCTAATTGGGCGTGGCTGATCCATAACACTTATCCTGATACACACATACGCACACGTGCTGAGTCATGGTATCATAGATGGTCGAACGTGATAAGCATCAGAAGTACCACTTTTTCTAATTGGGCGTGGCTGATCCATAACACTTATCCTGATACACACATACGCACACGTGCTGAGTCATGGTATCATAGATGGTCGAACGTGATAAGCATCAGAAGTACCACTTTTTCTAATTGGGCGTGGCTGATCCATAACACTTATCCTGATACACACATACGCACACGTGCTGAGTCATGGTATCATAGATGGTCGAACGTGATAAGCATCAGAAGTACCACTTTTTCTAATTGGGCGTGGCTGATCCATAACACTTATCCTGATACACACATACGCACACGTGCTGAGTCATGGTATCATAGATGGTCGAACGTGATAAGCATCAGAAGTACCACTTTTTCTAATTGGGCGTGGCTGATCCATAACACTTATCCTGATACACACATACGCACACGTGCTGAGTCATGGTATCATAGATGGTCGAACGTGATAAGCATCAGAAGTACCACTTTTTCTAATTGGGCGTGGCTGATCCATAACACTTATCCTGATACACACATACGCACACGTGCTGAGTCATGGTATCATAGATGGTCGAACGTGATAAGCATCAGAAGTACCACTTTTTCTAATTGGGCGTGGCTGATCCATAACACTTATCCTGATACACACATACGCACACGTGCTGAGTCATGGTATCATAGATGGTCGAACGTGATAAGCATCAGAAGTACCACTTTTTCTAATTGGGCGTGGCTGATCCATAACACTTATCCTGATACACACATACGCACACGTGCTGAGTCATGGTATCATAGATGGTCGAACGTGATAAGCATCAGAAGTACCACTTTTTCTAATTGGGCGTGGCTGATCCATAACACTTATCCTGATACACACATACGCACACGTGCTGAGTCATGGTATCATAGATGGTCGAACGTGATAAGCATCAGAAGTACCACTTTTTCTAATTGGGCGTGGCTGATCCATAACACTTATCCTGATACACACATACGCACACGTGCTGAGTCATGGTATCATAGATGGTCGAACGTGATAAGCATCAGAAGTACCACTTTTTCTAATTGGGCGTGGCTGATCCATAACACTTATCCTGATACACACATACGCACACGTGCTGAGTCATGGTATCATAGATGGTCGAACGTGATAAGCATCAGAAGTACCACTTTTTCTAATTGGGCGTGGCTGATCCATAACACTTATCCTGATACACACATACGCACACGTGCTGAGTCATGGTATCATAGATGGTCGAACGTGATAAGCATCAGAAGTACCACTTTTTCTAATTGGGCGTGGCTGATCCATAACACTTATCCTGATACACACATACGCACACGTGCTGAGTCATGGTATCATAGATGGTCGAACGTGATAAGCATCAGAAGTACCACTTTTTCTAATTGGGCGTGGCTGATCCATAACACTTATCCTGATACACACATACGCACACGTGCTGAGTCATGGTATCATAGATGGTCGAACGTGATAAGCATCAGAAGTACCACTTTTTCTAATTGGGCGTGGCTGATCCATAACACTTATCCTGATACACACATACGCACACGTGCTGAGTCATGGTATCATAGATGGTCGAACGTGATAAGCATCAGAAGTACCACTTTTTCTAATTGGGCGTGGCTGATCCATAACACTTATCCTGATACACACATACGCACACGTGCTGAGTCATGGTATCATAGATGGTCGAACGTGATAAGCATCAGAAGTACCACTTTTTCTAATTGGGCGTGGCTGATCCATAACACTTATCCTGATACACACATACGCACACGTGCTGAGTCATGGTATCATAGATGGTCGAACGTGATAAGCATCAGAAGTACCACTTTTTCTAATTGGGCGTGGCTGATCCATAACACTTATCCTGATACACACATACGCACACGTGCTGAGTCATGGTATCATAGATGGTCGAACGTGATAAGCATCAGAAGTACCACTTTTTCTAATTGGGCGTGGCTGATCCATAACACTTATCCTGATACACACATACGCACACGTGCTGAGTCATGGTATCATAGATGGTCGAACGTGATAAGCATCAGAAGTACCACTTTTTCTAATTGGGCGTGGCTGATCCATAACACTTATCCTGATACACACATACGCACACGTGCTGAGTCATGGTATCATAGATGGTCGAACGTGATAAGCATCAGAAGTACCACTTTTTCTAATTGGGCGTGGCTGATCCATAACACTTATCCTGATACACACATACGCACACGTGCTGAGTCATGGTATCATAGATGGTCGAACGTGATAAGCATCAGAAGTACCACTTTTTCTAATTGGGCGTGGCTGATCCATAACACTTATCCTGATACACACATACGCACACGTGCTGAGTCATGGTATCATAGATGGTCGAACGTGATAAGCATCAGAAGTACCACTTTTTCTAATTGGGCGTGGCTGATCCATAACACTTATCCTGATACACACATACGCACACGTGCTGAGTCATGGTATCATAGATGGTCGAACGTGATAAGCATCAGAAGTACCACTTTTTCTAATTGGGCGTGGCTGATCCATAACACTTATCCTGATACACACATACGCACACGTGCTGAGTCATGGTATCATAGATGGTCGAACGTGATAAGCATCAGAAGTACCACTTTTTCTAATTGGGCGTGGCTGATCCATAACACTTATCCTGATACACACATACGCACACGTGCTGAGTCATGGTATCATAGATGGTCGAACGTGATAAGCATCAGAAGTACCACTTTTTCTAATTGGGCGTGGCTGATCCATAACACTTATCCTGATACACACATACGCACACGATTAATGTACCCTAACCTTTGACCCCCCCAACCCCTCAACTAACTGTTTGTTTGCATTAGTCTTGTTTTTGGGTCTGTTATGCTAGTTATACACGACTCTAATTTCAGCTGATCACTGCTCAACAGACCAAAATTCAAGCCATGGATGGCCCTGTCAGCACTTCAACACTTTTATCAAACTGGGTGGCAAATTATGAGATCAGATGCAGTCACTGTTTGAGTTTTTAGACAGTTGCGCTCTAAGGGTCCCTGACTGTCTGAATACAATAGCAAGCAGTACAGACTACACAGTGGATGGAGGAAACTATTGACTTTCTCTTGTTCAGCCCACATGCTAGACTTACTCAGCCACACAGCCCCACAGCCCCACAGCTCATATTTTTACTATAAGGCCATACTATATCTATATACACAGAATATATCAAATATGTATTAAATTTGAGGTCCTTTCCATGAGGAATATGCTGAGTCATGGTATCATAGATGGTCGAAAGTGATAAGCATCAGAAGCACCACTTTTTCTAATTGGGCGTGGCTGATCCATAACACTTATCCTGATACACACACACACACACACGCACACGTGCTGAGTCATGGTATCATAGATGGCCGAAAGTGATAAGCATCAGAAGTACCACTTTTTCTAATTGGGCGTGGCTGAGCAAGAAGTGTATAAAAATGATAGAGGTTTGACATTAATTTTGAAACACTCGCAGATAGCTATCATATGCTGTACCGGTGTGTTCCCAGACTTTCTCTTGTTCAGCCCACATGCTAGACTTACTCAGCCACACAGCCCCACAGCTCATATTTTTACTCTAAGGCCACCAATGGCATCTAAGATATTTCTCTTATTATAGATGTACATTAAATGTGACCCCTTAACCTTTGATCCTACGTTGAGCCTAAATAATGCTTAACAACCCCTAACTCCAAAAATGAATGTCACCTCATAGGCCTGATACTACCCTGCTGATTTGTACCAGCCCCAAATTGTACTGGCTTTGGAAAATTAACTCCCCAAAACTAACAACCTGCAGGTGACATCTCCACAAATTTAGTTAGGATGGAATCAGTTGTGTTGCACTGTAACATCACTGACACATTTAAGAGTCTACTCTTAATAATTCTTTTGCTATATAAGTGCCCAGGAAATTCATTAGGTGCACTAAACAATTAGATACAATACATATTCAGCAGATCATTTGGTGTATGGGTGTGATCAGGAGCCACAATTTCAGTTCCAACCTGCAGCTTCTTTGCTTATAAATTCTGATATTGTTGCACATTTATTCCGATAAAATGAGGTTTAACCATAAGATCCAAAAACGGATAAGCAAAGTAGGCAAGTGCACGAAGCCTACTTTTTATCTTTGTGGTTTTGCTATAAGTTGTATTATTAACCTTAGGTGCCCAAAGTCAGAAAATGTACATTGCACAGATATCATAACACTCCGGCACATACAATACAGTAGATAACATTTGCCCCGTCATCTCCACAACATAGCCATAAACATATACATTAAAAATGTTATTATACGCTGTAGCTTGTTAAATTACCTGCACAGAGTTCTCTCGTCGGTTGCTAGCGATGTCTCCAGGATTGTCTCTGGCAATGGCTGTAAGAGTATAGTAATCCTTCTTCTCTCTGTCCAATGGGGAAAGGATGTATATGTCTCCCTGTTGTTACAATAAGCAGAGTTTTAGACTTTCTAATCTGATTTGTACATGGGAGAGGGTAAATTGCATTGCACCTAGGGGCTTATGCTTAACATAAAGTGGGGTGGTTTAATAAATAGAATAACAGAATAGTAGGATGAGGTTGGAGTCTACACAGTTAAACTCAACATTAACTATAAAACTAGTTAACACTTTTATTAACTTATATGTTGGTCTAGTCTAGTAACTGACATCCTCAGCAATGTTGCACCTATATAATTCTATGCATCATGTTGACTGACGATATACAAAGCATAATAAGTACAGCCACACGCAGCTCTCACGTGTTCGAACAGGGATATGCTATATGGTAGTTTCAGGTATTAGTAGTGCTTCGAGCAGTTTAACATTCAGCCTGGCATGCCAAACTTAAATAAAACCATGGCCCAAATGGACTTAAACAAATTTTCAAGGGATCACATTAAGTACCCTAAAGGTCATGCCTATGTAATTCTGGAAAGCAATTACAGCACTCTTTTTAATTAAAATCATAGTAACAACTGCAAATTACATGTTTATCACAGAGAAAGGGGACATAAAACATTCCTGAAGTGAATCATTAGGGACACATGTGACCCAAAAAACACTAGTCTGACACTCCTACTTTAATGATTTAAGGATTCTGAAAGTAAGAGATACGTCATAAAAACTTCAACAGATCTACTAGGATACACCTCTTACGTGCTTCTCTCGCCCTGATGCTGCTCTCCCCCTGCTGCTATTACCAGCAATTTCCGACTGTCAAAATGACAGCGATAGTAGAATTGCTTTGTATTACACAGCAGGAACAGCTGTCAAAATGCATCCACTTCAGTATATAATAAAACCTGTAGATAGCCCTCCACCATAGCAACCAATTGCCAACCATGCATTCCTGACCTTTGAACTATGGTCAGGTGGTTTAGACAAGCCAACAGTGGGTGTTTTGGTATGTGCCATTACCACCGCTAGTAAAATCAGGGTTCCCAGCAGTCTTTTGTCAGTGTGTGTTAAGAGAGACCTGGAGTACATAGACACAGCTGACAGATTGTTGTTTGCAGGGAGAGAGAGTTGCAATCATACACTGCTAACCTGTGCTATATACAGTGCTCTAAGGTGTAGTATTGTGCTACATTATTACCATTTAATGTACTGTATTGTGATACATAACTGTGCAATGTGTTAGGGTTTCATATTATTGTGCACCCCTGTGTTCACATAGGACCCAAACTTATCTTGCTTGTGTTAAAACAAGTACAAAAACAATTATTTTAAAATAATGCTAAACTATGACACATGAAGCAGTACTCCAGTCAAAAATAAAGCAAAAAAAATATTAAGGTCATCTGAAAAAGTAAAAAACAAAACAGTGTTTACAGCAATACTCACCTTCAATCTGGAGTTGTTCCTCATAGTTTTTCTTTTCTGCCATAAAATGTCTCCAGTATTCTGGGTTGAATGACATTTCAGTATATTTAAAACCACTTCCTTTGAACCTAAGCTGTCATGTACCCTCCCCTAGTCATGATCCGCCGCCTGACTTCCTGATCGGGGCACATGGCACCGGTACTCGGTATCAGCGAGTACCGACAAAAAAAATATGGTATCGGTGCATCCCTAGTTCTAACTTTTACCCATGTGTTGTTATTTTTGTTATGTCCCCATCATAGGGAAACCCAGGTTACAGGAATAAGGATAATAAAAATCTGAAAGAGTTTCTACCCCTTCCCCACAGTATCCAAAACTATAAATAAACAACACATCTTTGGCTGGAGCTGGGCTTAAAAAAAAAAAGAGGCCACGATTTTGAAATATTTGGTACTTCATATGAACTAAAAATCCAATCTGTCTTCAGGGAAGGGAGAATGTTATAATCAAAGATCAGTTTTTAAGATACTGATGTTATCTCCTAATGGAGTCACAGCACTTACCGTAGTAGGGTTTATCCCAAACTTGCCCTCTCCATCCACAAGGCTGTACTGAATGAGTGCAAACCGCCCAGAGTCTGCATCCGTGGCTTTTATTTGCAAAACCGTAGAACCAAGTTGGATATCCTCAAAAACAGGTTTCTGGAAGACAAGAAGAAAAATGTTATAGATTGAAAGACCAAAAGATGAGGCCAGTTTAGACAGCAAATGCACTGAGTAGCCAAGTAGGTTGATAGACATTTGTGTTTTATGTAGAGGTGATTATAAAGCCGGCCAGACTGTATCAGGGCAGTCACAGAGTGAGAAGTCAAGACCTCACCAATACCTTACTGCTGTGAGCTATTAAAAGACCATAGTGCTCTAAAACTATTCAGAGAACATTTAAAACTACCTACAGGCTTTAATCTTACCACCAGAAGCCATAAAAACAAACAACAGCATCCACAAAATATCAAAATGCGCTAATGTAAGAGCAAAGTTAGAAAGCACAGAAACTAGGGTAAAAGAACTCCCTAATGGGATAGCAATAAAGTTGAGTGTAAAACATAAATAAATTAGAAAATGAAATATATAAAAAATTAAAAATGCAAAAAAATTATTTTCAAAGTCCCTCGCCCCCCACCTGCACACACATACAACGCAAACACTCGTCGGATGCGCCTACGGCAAAAACTAAAATTGTGCCAAAACACTAAACTGATGAGCGGTAAAAGCTTTTAAAGCGTCGCCTATAGGAAATTTGTGTTAATGTAGTTTTTTGAGGCTTCACGGGCGAACACAATTTTAAGTTTTGACATGCTTGGTATCTATTTACCCGGTGTGACTCCATCTTTTATATTTTACCAAAAAGTGGGTATTATATTCTGCTTCTGTGCACTAAATTTCATTTCATTTCATTTCAGAAAATATATAATTGTTGGGGTTTTTAAAGGAGAACTATGAGGTGAGTGCTTTTCACTCACCTCATAGTGCTAGCCGACCTGTGACAATGAGACTGGCACAGGTCGGCTCAGTAGATCGGGAGGTGAGCGAACACATACCGGCGTTCGCTCACCTCTCGATCCTGTCACAGCTCTCTGCCGTGACAGGGGAGGGGCTGGATTCCAAACCCCCTACCCCGCTCCGATCTGCCAGCGCTGTCTGGCGGAACGGACGGGGGAGGGGGCGGGCACAGCTGGCTCTGCCTCTAGATAGGCAGAGCCTGCTGTCAGTCATGCAGCTGGGCGGATCCCGGCATAATTGTCGGGATCCGCTTCAGCTGCGGCGTCTCAATATACCGCGAGCTACAGCTTGCGGTATACTGAGCCTAGGGTAACGGGAGGACGCTAGTTTGTGTCCTCCCGTTACCCTAAGGAGAACTATGGGGAAAAGCCTTAACCCCATAGTTCTCCTTTAAGCTGTTTTCTAGCCAAATATTCAGATTTTATCATGTGAATGCAAATAGTAAGAAATTGCTCTAGGCGGCAAGTGGTTAAGAATGTGTCCATACTCTGGATACAGGTGCACTTTAAAGGTACATAATAAAAATTCTCTGCACTGTGCTGCTGTATGAAAAATTGTATGTAACCATGTTTCCCATTGAATCAATATACCAAGCACCAGAGTATTGAATCTCTTTTCATGGTACTTGAACTTAGGGGCATTAGCATGGAGGTTTGCAAATGTGCAGTATAATATATACACACGTACAGTACACTGATGCTTTTAAAGAGTTCAAGTTTTCTCCAGTCTCATTTAATCATAGCCATGCATACTTGATGCAGGTGTATTCCTATTTGGCATGTTAATCTATATATTTTTATTTTAGGCATTCTATGGCTTAGCTGATGGACATTTGGATCCTAGAGTGTACATGCTATAGAAAACCACCCTTGTCAACAAATTCCTTGCATGTGGATGAATATGTGCGTGCATCATAGACAAATGAGCACGATAGTATGGCATATATGTTAGTGAATCAGGTCTTTTTTTTAAATTTTTTTTAAAAATCAGGTCTGTTGAGTCATCATGAATGAAAAGTCTGCAAACAATCTAATTATTAGCGCTCAGTCATACTTTACTAAAAAAAAAATCTAATGAATTTAAAGCTGAACTAAATGAAGCACCAAACTACAAGTAAAAGTGAATCCCAACAATGTACTCTATATCAAGGTATCGACACACTACTTAAAATCTCCTTTATCTGCTTGTCCGATAGTGGTCAAACAATGCAGATCACTGAAGCCCCTTCACACAGAAGCCAGCACCATCTATGAACTCTTTCCTTCTATTTCTGTCCAAATGCACCCACCACAAGAACGTCCCCCGAACATATGCAGTAAGGAGATGCACACATCATTCCTCCATCTATGCACACAATAACAACCACTGTTGGTGGGTTGGTGTGAGCGCAATGTTACCTTGGGGGAGTGCCAATAACAAGCTCCACATTGCACATATACATTTTAAAAGGATAACCTACAATTTTGCTAAGTGCACCTATTTGGCAGATTTCTGGGGGGAAATGCCATTGCATGCTGTAATTATGAAAAAGTGAGAAATGTTTATTGTTGACTACAATTCCACTTTAAAGTTGCTATCCTGTTCTTTTTCCTCTTTTTCTGTACAGCCTTTAATATTATTTATAATAAAATGAATAGCTCAGAAAAATGTTTTACCAGTGTTTCCTGACTTGCTCTTACAATATATCTAACTTCTTAGTACTGGCCTTTTGTAACATCAAGTATCTTGTAACATCAAGTTCTCTGTATGGGAAAACCTCTCCATCATTTTAAATAGGTAAGCAAAAAACGATTCCCAGATCCCTAATTACTGATAATAGGAAGGTGCACTATAGCTCTGCCTAGATGAAAAACTGAAACAACAAGCTGGTAGGATGTGTTCCGTAAATGAATCTCATGGCTTTATTTTTGCTTCTTGACTGCTTTGTATCTTAAACTCTGTAGTTGATTATAAGTTTGGTTTATGCTATTTACATATATTAAAGCAGTTTGGCTTGGTGTAATAAAATCAAAAATATGTGGTTGATCAACATTATATACAGAATGTATTTGATTATATATATATATTTTAATGCCTCTTAAACGTTTGGAAACATTTGTAAAATTTTATGACCTACTAACATTATTTACTTCCTGCCCCACATCTGAAAATATATAAGTACTACATCCTGTCATCACCTCTACACTTCCCGTACCAGATTTTATCTTCTTTAATTGCTTCACGGTAATCTTTGTGGGCTGTTTCAGTTATTCCCTCTAGCTCACAAATAGCTTTTAAAACAACCATAAAGGACATTACGAAAGCTATAATTTCTTTGTGAATCATAAGTGGAAATAATATAAGAATTAAAAATAAACTCCACTCTGCAAAATCTATTCCTACAATCTACTTTATGGAGTTCTAACAAATCCGCCTGCCAGTATTTTGCCCAGTTATTTTTGTTTGTTTAGCTTTTTCAATTGCCTTAACTGGCAACAGGTTTGATAGTCTTTGGTCAATATACGTTTAGTGGATTTTTTAAGTTTCTAAATGGTTTTAACTTGTTTAGTGTTTTTATACAATTCTTGTGTTACAAAAACATATTACTTGTTAATGGATTCTTGGAGTACTGTGCGTTAGCTAAGGTGACAGAACACCAGGCCCTCCCTGCTTTAATGCTGTAGTTTTGTCTACTTCAGACTGAGCCATCTGATAAGAGATAAGTTAAGATTGGACTGGCTTATGGATCTGACTAATTTAATTACAGAAATGAAAAAAATGGACTGCACATCAAAAAAACAAACAGAGTATTGAAAAATTTTAAAAGGAGCCTACAGTCTCACCTGTCTTTAAAGAAAAATGCAAAAATATTACTGTGCAATTTGTTATTTTAATGTACATTTTTTTCATTTTAGTTTTTACCAAAGGCCACAATAATTGTAAAAAATAAACAATCCATTTGATCATATACAAAGACTGCAGCCCTGTTGTTTGCTTTTAACCTTAGAAGGCCTGTAAGGGATACCTAGGGGCTTCTCCATATTCATCACTCCTGCTCTGTCTGGGGTCAATGCCAAGTCCCACTGACAGCCGCTTCCATCAGAATGGAGTCTAAACGCAATGTTTGCAAGATTTATTCATACATACTAGGGTTGCACAGATACCAAGTACAGTACTCGGTACAAGTACGAGTACATGTACCGATACTTTTGAGCTCCAAGACTAGACTAGAGAATAATTCAGAAGTTAGGAGGCAGCTGTCATTTGTAAGTAGCACACGGAGCTCCTGGGATTTGTACATCTCTGTTTTAATGTATGATTTTGTTTTTATAAATATAAATAAAGGGATGCACCGATACCAGTTTTGCGAGTAAGAGTACTGGTATTTGCTGAGTACTTACAATTACGAGTACTGATACATTTTTGTTTATTGTCATGTGACAGTTTTTCTAAAACAATACAGACTAATGATTTCAGGGCAGTGGTGGAGCGCCAGAGCCAGGCCCCAGCTGCAACCCTGGTAGTTCTCATGAAAATGCCAAGTATCTGCACTGGTACTCGAAAAGTATCTGTGCATTCCTAATAAATACACTGTAAGAAAATTGATACATTGTGTTTTGTTAATCTAAGCTCCGGTAGCCTTGAAAGTATAATTAATTAATAAACAAGCAGGTGTATCTGTTGAACCCCTTTAAGGAGTTGAAATTTGCACTTATTATTCTACAGTAACACCATGTACTGTACGTAAACCCCCCACTGGTTAAACTGAGGGTGGGGGCGCTTTTTTTCCCTTTTAATAATTTTTAATAGAAAATATCTGAACACATGCACTGTCATAAACAATATAATGAAATTTTCACTTGAACACTGCCATACCAACAATACACAAGCAACTTCTATCATGTAAAAATAAATTACAACCAATATATCATAACCGTCTACAATGACATCCCGTGATAATGTGGGTAGGCATGCGACAGGTAACAAGAAAAAAAATAATACAGGTACTCCTTATAAAGTCAGCTCATTACTAATGTGACATTAAGACAAATTTAAAAAAAGAAGAATAAAGAAGACAAAAAAAGCGTAAAAGGCCAAGAAAGGAGGTATCCATGGCATCTTGTGAAGTGAACTACATTCCACACTACACCAAAACTATAATTGTAGGAAACACCTATCAAACAAAGTAGGAAGAAAATGTTTAACCCAGGGGGCGCAGATTTTAGTAAAAACTGGCATCCTGTCAAACGGTTTTGCCATAATTTTCTCAAAAATCAAAGTTTTTTGCATTCTAGCCTTTACTTCACAAAAACTAAGTGTAGGGGATTTCCAAGATTGAGCTTTGGTTTATTTAGTGTCCATAAAAAGAAATGTAAGTAGTTTAAACTGCAAAACAAATGACGCTAGTGTATGGAGTGGAGAAGACAGAGCTGAGCTCATACAAGCCGATTTTATGTTTTTACAGCGCTGAAAACCCATTTTAAATGTAAGTGTTCTGATTATGAATAAACTATCATCTAGCAGTTTTACACTATGAGCCATCTTGGTTTTCTATTTTGAGTGGATAACAGAGAGTTGGGAGAGACATCGAGCAGATTCATCATTTTCAGCTGTTGGTGATTCAGTGGAGAGAGAGGCATCGGACAACAGGGAATTTTGCAGAGCATTTGAAGACCACTGGGTGGTCAGAATTATCTGGTGAGTGTGCTAGTGTTTGTGCACCTAGAGGTGGATCACTGGTGATTCATTGACGAGGAATTGAAGCACAGAAGTCACAAGTGATTGTGGAACTTTATGTGCAATGATTATTTGACTCACTGATGCAAAGAAAGTGAACACAAGGATTTTATCACATTTATTTTTGATCATATCAATTTTGGGAATATTTTCATATGGACTATATATAAGTTGGAGTGGACATTTTGTATAATTGTCACTAAGTATATGCACTTAGAGTTTTATAATATTAGAGATAGCGCAGTGTTTTTTGTTTACTAAGTAGTTTAAACTGACAAAAGGAAACATCCAGTTTCTTATTACGTGAAGCTTTACACGATTCCGGGAGGGTGACCAATTATTATTATTATTATTATTATACAGGATTTATATAGCGCCAATAGTTTGCACAGCGCTTTACAATATAAGGAAGACATTACAGTCACAATACAATTTAAGACAAGATGGTAAGGAGGGCCCTGCCCGTGAGGGCTTACAATCTAAAAGGGAGGGAGCAATAATAATTGCTATATGTTTATACACCTTAGACCACAGTTCATATGCCACTGGACACTGCCGCCAGATGTGAAGGAAAGTGCCAGGAGATGAACAACCATGAAAGCATAAAGGAGAACATCCGGGGTAAAAATGTTGCTATCTCATCAGGGACTAAATACCATTTAAAATTAGTCTCTAGAGCTGAAACATTTTGTGAGCAGGACATAGTCATAGTTCATATCTGCATCCACATTTCCTCACACAAGTATACGCTCAAATTCACCTTCCATTTTGCCACCATACTCCAGAGCATGCTTTTTAATTTTTTCTTAAACTTTGTGTGGAGTGTATAATGTGTACACTCCATTCAGGTCCCTGCACGGCAGTGCAGTCCGCTGCACTGTTGTGCGGTGACCTGCGGTGGAATCCAGTGCTTTGTGATAAAATGCAGCATGCTTGCATTTTATTGCAGTGCGCCATCTGCTACCTTGTAGTGGGAATTGGACACATAGAAAACAACTGTTTTCTATCCGTTCTAGCAGTGACCTGCATTGATCTGATGTGGCACAGCGCAGGTCAATGCACTGCGTGTGAACCCTATGGGCTGTATTGTGATTAGAAAGTCTGTCTTTAGGCAGAAGCCAAAAAGAGTTGTCCACTTGTACTGGATCAAAGTCCATCAATTCAATACGAACAGAAAAGCAGAGCCATGTAGCATGAGAGATAGTTCACTAAACTGAGCAGCTGTATAATATTTGGAAACATTAGAGATACCCAGGCTTCCAGAGTGTTTAAGTAAGACAGCCTTGTGGCTGTATGTGGCTTACAATGGCACTAAATTAACTTTTTGGCTTGAGGTGAACTGTTATGGTACCACCCTTTAGTAGTGACACAGGCTCTAGCACCAGCCAGAGTCTAAGCACCAGCCAGTTTTCTCCAGAGCTCCTGAAGGTGGAGATGGATTTTCATGGTGCTCAGGGTCTCCCAACCAAGGAGTGAACGGGGGACTAGGAGACTACGATGAGGAAACAGTACACCAGGGAAGGACTGGAGAATGGTCAGGTCCGGGCAGAGGTCAGCAACAGGTGAAGCAGCAGAGTGGTCAAGTACAGGAGGATAGTCAGGTCCAGTCAGAGGTCAGAGATGGGCAAGGGAACAGAGTAGTCAGATTCAGGTGGATGGTTGTAGCCAAGCGGCAAGCAGAAGAGTAGTCGAGTCGATCCGGGTCAACAACAAAACAGTCAATTTAAACAGGCAATTTAAATGCATTATAGCTCTCCCGCAACAAGCAGGATAGCTGGACAAAAGACCCAGCACCAGCCACTTCCAAGGCTGGTGTTTAAATACATCTGCACACATGCAGCATCATTTGAGGGAGGTCTAGAATCCCTGGCAAGGATTCTGCGAGTACCATTTGAGGTAGTGGCAGAAAGCCTTTGAGTGCCATAAGCAGTCCTGTCAGGGATTCTGGAAATCCTGGCAAAGATTCTGTGAACACCATTAGCACTACTAGAGGTACTATAACAAAAACTCTACATATAAAGTACAAGTACATACTAAGGAACCTGGATGGGTAGGACCCAAAAAAGATAGAGGACCTTAGGTATAAAGGACATCTTCACTGCAGCGATTCTCCTAAACCAGGAAAGATTATATCTGGGACTCCAGTTTACCCAACATTGCTGGATAATTTTCTCACCAATAACAATTACTGATACTTTTTTTAGTGTCATGTGACAGTTTTTCTACAACAATATAGACTAGTAATCTTAGGACAGTGTTGGAGCACCAGGGCGCGGTTCGTAGCTGCGACCACTGTGACCTCTGTAGTTCTGCCACTGACTCCAAGCTGTAAAGGGACTACAAATCTCAACAATACGGTATAAAGCAATGCAGAATACCACCAGCTATTAAGGACTACAAATCTTTAGTGTAAAGTGTAACTAATTGAAGCATAATCTTTAGAATGGAAAAATGCTTGTCTATACATACCTCCATGGAATAAATATAGATTGCAAGTAAGCTTGGATGCAAAGGATGCAGGCCTTAGAAGTATCAGTGTCCTAACATTAACTGATCATAATATTTACAGTGCTAAAACACATTTACTAGTCTATACACTAATCACAATAATTATTTTACCTGATATGAAGACTGGCTAAACACTGGATTATTGTCATTGATATCCACAATCTCAAGACAAACAGGAACCTCGGAAGATCTCCGTGGAGAGCCATTATCTGATGCTCTGACAGTGAAATTTAACCACTGCACTTGCTCATAATCCACAGTCCGGTTTGCTATAATTTTTCCTGTATATGAAAAAGTAGTATACTTTATTTTAAACAATGCAGCAACAGTGTATGGGAATTAAGTGCATATAGGTCATTAAAGTTAGGAACAGAACTGTAGTGTAATTTTAGTGTGCTCATACCTGCTGTGTTGTCCTCAAGTTGTACGTATCCAGCTGGCACAAGGTTATGAAGAGAGTAGGTGATCTGACCATTAGATCCCTTATCCGGGTCAACAGCAGATACAGACAACACTGTGGTCCCTGGGGTGGCACCTTCAATTATCCTCTGAGAGAAAACAATTACTCCAAATGGTCGAAATCTTGGAGTGTTGTCATTAACATCCAGAATATTCACTGTAAGCTTTGCTGTAAGAAAAAATAAATGCATAGTTATTTTTCTTGATCAAAAAATTGTACCTACAAGGTGTAATAAAAATAATTTATAAAGAAAATAAAGAGAATAATGAAGCACTTGTCTAAAAAACAAACATTTGATTATGAAGTTCCAGAGTTATCAGTGATTTTGAAAGTACAATAGCAGCAGTGGACTGGCTCCAATCTACCTTTTCCCCATTACCAGATCAAGGCAACAGTTGCCTTCATAAATAAGCTGTGTATGAGAAGGTGAATTGAGCATTAGTGACTTCACATTGTGGTATCTCACAGTTGGAATCTTCTGTTGAATTTGCACAATAGATGAAATACTAATAGGGTTTTCCCATGTTTCCTCCTGGTGTCCTGGTTTCCTCCCACACCCCAGAGAAAAAAACTTACTGATAAGTTACCTGCCCAAATAATTTCTAGTATTTACATATCTGTATTAGAGTTAGAGGCATCATAGTGTACACTAAGCCCTTCACAAAAAAGGTTTTATATGAATGGGTCAACCCTGTGTTGCAGAATATGTTGGCAATATATAAATGGTTAAAATAAATCGCTAGTAATACAAATTGTTTCATTGTTTCATTTTTAAAAAGTTGATTCACTGAATTACTAAGCAATGTCTAATTACTAAGAAATAATAATAAAGAGATCAATAACAATAATGAAAGACTTAAAGCTATACATATGCTGAAATATTTACTTCAAATCTGTTCAACTGATATAATATCAGTGTTTTTTTTTTTTACTAACTATAGATAATGAAGGATTTTTAAAGACTGTTTCCTCATTATTATTTTTTTAATAGTTATAATTACCTTACACAGGACCAAATCTATTCAAACTAATATTTTGGCTTTGTGTCCATGGTGGCAATCTGAATGACATGTCTAAACAATTGTACACCTAGGTGCTGCAAAGGGTCAGAGATCCCCGTCTATTGTAATATGATTTATAATTATTTTATTATGATACAAAAATAACACAATCTATAGTAAATAACCAACACAAACATCAAAACAGTAAGAAAACCTCCCACTGCTGCATATAAAAACATCAACCCATTAAAATCTCCTCAAAACACCTGGGGAGGAAGAGAGAGTCAGCCTGTGCGGGATATATGGTATCATTGTATAATGGTGAAATACTATGAATATTTTTATGTGTATCCGTAATATATATCCGATGTTTCTATCCAATGAGATAAATCAGTTGTTTGCACATGCGTATTCATATAATGGTCAAGAGGGCAACTTGTATGAGGGGCCCATATCCATGGCAGTGCAGCAACCCATAGTACTTTTTCTGGTATGCCTTTTTGTCTGTTTGTTCATTTTAATTACAGGGTCGGTCTCCCTTTAGGAAAACCCTGCAGCCTCGTGAAGAACTTTGGGCGGGAAAATCCTCTCCTTCTGAAAGCTTCTTGAACTTTCTCCAGCGCCAGTCTCTCCCTAAAAAAGGCAGGATTTCTCCTGGATCAGTGTCCAATTGGCTGACCACAGCACAAGCAAGCTCCCCTCCCTCCCCCCCTAGTCGCGGCTTTTTATGTTGTTCTTGTCACCTCTATTTGGTTGAGGGGGACTTTGATGAATTGATGCTTTGGTCTTGCTCGAGTTTTTTATGACTGAGCAATAGTTGGTGGTATTTAATTGATGGTAATTTAATTCAAAAAGTTTTATTTATTAATACCAATAAAGTGTCGTGGCCATAAATTGCCCAAAATTGGTGTGTGGAGTTTTAATTTATTTTATTATAGGTTTATTGAGTGTCGCCTGCATTCCCATGCGACTGGTGAAATCTGTATCTGTGTATAATCTTTCAATACAGGAAATCATGAATTCTGGAGTAGATAAATAGCTTTAGGAGTCAGAGCTGCAGATTGTATCATGGTATATACATGGTATCTGGTAGTCCAGGCAATACGTCTTGGGGAACAGGACACCCCACGTTCCCTGTTGTACACCTGAACAATGTCACTATATGAGTAGGTAATATACAAGTCCTCCGGTCAGTATCCCAATATGAGTATTAGATAAGTAAAGTAGTAACACTCTCACCTGGGTTCCAATACGTGATCGATCAGAGAAAGCACTTTGCAGGCTTTCAGGAATGTCTACAGTTCCAGCTATTCATGTAGTAAATCACCAGATGATGCATGTAGTATAACAAAGTAAATGGCCATATCCATCCAACTCACAGATTGCGGTCAAGTCTTGGAAAAGCATAGCAGATCACCGCACAGGCATGATCCACCTCACACCTAACATGTTTCGCTCCACACGGGAGTTTTGTCAAAGATATGTGGATGACTGCAAGGTATTCCAGCCTAATCTGAATGACATGCTGGTTTATGATCTTACTCAAGGACTCAAGTAGAAAAATATCCCCACAAGAGTTCACAGTCCCTACCAATGCCTACAGCCACTGCAATCTCTAATAATGGTATCATGAGAGACTTATTAGCTGTGGGAAAAAGACAGGGAAGAAAATGTAGTAACTCTCCACACTAGAGTTCCCGAAAAATAAAAGAACATGGTTTTTAGGGTTATGACTGGATTAACCCTCCTGCTGTCCAGGTTTTTGTGTCCTCTATAACTTTGTACTCTAATTTACTGCTGTAGTTTACTTTATGCTTATCTGCATACCCAACTTGTATTGCAATTATTTTCCTTCTTCTGCCTAGTTTGCACCTATTTTTCTGTTCTTGTTTTTCAACTGCAGTATAGTTTGTACCCAGTCCAATTCCACCGTTGTTTTCTGGCTTGCTGCTTTGGCTCATTATCTGTATTCTTGTTTCTTCTTGGTTACCTTGGTGACCCCCGCTCGCTCTGTATTCTGGCACTCTGTGTCTTGTTCTTCTGGTTTATTTTTTGGGTCTCTGGTTCTTCTTGTATCCTGTGTCTTGCCTCTGGTTCCCTGTGGAGTTTGCTCCTTCATCTATTTCTTTCTTATGCCAATTTAGTTACCAGCCCTTGTCCTATATCCCAGTTCCATTCACTCACTTGCTTGTGTCCCAGTGTGTTGTTGTCTTTGGCAACTATCGCCTGTCAAAGTTTCTAGTTCCTTGTAATCTGTTATAATCTGCAAGGGATTCTCAGGGGTTTCACTATGGGAGTGCTCACTGCACAACTTCAATCCCATTACCAGGGGACTCTAGTTAAGACCAGGCACTTCAAGAGCGTACACCTCAGAGAAAGCATTCCACCATCAATAGGCAATACAGATAACCCTGACTGCCCTTCATCACTCATTTGTATGATGTGGTGATGCATATTTAAAAATAAATAAAGGTAGAAGGAAAACACATGTTGATATCATATGTTCAATGTTTACATCAAATGAATGTTACTACATAAAACCTTGGGAAAATAGTAGTTCATGTGATTACAGTTATCTAAATTACAAAAATGTCAAATCATTTCATGGGCCTAATTAAAACTTACCATTAGGGACACTGACTGATCGGTCGACCACCTCGCTTGCATTATCATAAACAGAGATAGCAAGGTCATAAGTGGCTACAAGTTCTCTGTTCAAGGGAGATTTTACCATAACTGCTCCTGGAAATGAATAAGCAAGAGTACATGTCACAAACAATAATTCACTTTCTTATAACACCTACATAAAATCACTCAATGTTGTGAAATACTTTATATGTGTATTTGGAGCTCAGTATCATGTGAAGTGATACCAGTAAAGGTCTATCAAAACAGCAAATGTCAATATCAATAAATGTGTAGCATTGACACCTACAGTATGTAGAGGACATTACATTGCAGTATTTGAAACCAGCTCCAGCCCTACGTCAAGCTCCAATGTTCCTGTGTTCAGTCTGCATAGGCTTAACAACAACCATTAAAGGACATGCCTTGCCCTTTATGATGAACATGTTGAAATCCGTGCCAGCAAAGACAATGGGTGTGCAGCAGCATTGGCAAACAGTTATTATAATGATGATGATGATGGCGATGTAGGAGGACAATGCATGAGTCAGACAGGAAAGGCTTTTACAGAGATAACACTCATCAAACCTTCAGAAGTTGTGAGCCATAAAGAAAAGAGAAGAGTCAGTTGGTTAGTAGCATGACACTTTCATTCAGCAGAAATTCAGAAGGAAGAAGAATATTAACAGAAAAAGAGGAAAATTGAGAGAAGAAATATCAGAAGAGCACCAGAGACGATTAGGGTAGATTCATGCAGCTAAAGAGTGTAATGACTGGAATTTCTATCTAGTATAAGGAAGTTCGGTAATAAAGAAGGAAATATTTATTCAATGGATTCAAACAAAGTACCTGTTTTGAAGTCTATACTGAATATTCCCTGCTGATTAGGCACAATAACATTGGTGTCATCTGTGGCCACAATTTCAATGATGTAGTACTCCAGACGAGGGTTGAGGTCTCGGTCAATGGCAGTGACCTCAGCTATGATGGTTCCCACCTCAGCTGATTCCAAGACACTCACAGTCTGGATAGGATTGACAAACTCTGGTGGACAGTCATTGACATCATCAATGAGTATATTGACTGTGACACTTCCAGATAAAGGAGTGGTACCATGGTCTGTGGCAACTACTATTAGCCTGTATGCATCTTTTTCTTCCCTGTCCACAGTCATATTGGCCACCCTAATGACACCTGTAGAGGAATCAATAAGGAACCTGTCTTGGGCACCACTTTCTATTCGATAGGTTAGTTGTTGGTTTGGGCCACTGTCTGCATCTGTTGCTGTTACCTGCACAACAGAAAACCCTGCAAGAATAAAGTATTCTGTTAATTCTTGTCTTTTAAATTGCAATATCCTTTAGGCTTTCCTGTATACTTGATATTATTTGCATGACATAGATATGACATAAACATTGACACTAGTGCTTTGTCATGTGATTAAAGCTCTTAAACACATAATAGCTGGTGCTCCCTTACAAATCAGCACAAATGACAAGTCATCTACATCTAATAGTGTATAAAGGTCAGTGGGTAAACAGTTGAGATTAATATTTCAAAATTATTTAATCGGAAACATTGTTTTTCATAAATCTGTTTATCACCAAATTTGGACAATAGAAAAAAATAGCAATAGATTCCACCAAGACATTGGAGAAGCTGGAGAAGAAGCTTTCGTTAGGTGGACTAAAGAGAACCTATAATGGTTTTGGTTTTATATAATTCAAATCTGATGATTTATATCTGTTTTACCTATTTATATACAATATTTCATTTAAAGGAGAACTATGGGGTCAGTGTTTTTCCCCATAGTTCTCCTTAGGGTAACGGGCGGACACAAACTAGCATCCTCCCGTTACCCTAAGCTCAGTATACCGCGAGCTACACCTCGCGGTATACTGAGACACCACAGCCGGAGCGGATCCCGACATCGACGTCGAGATCCGCCCAGCTGCGTGAGTGACAGCTGGCTCTGCCTATCTAGAGGCAGAGCCAGCTGTACCCGCCCTCTCCCCCGTCCATTCCGCCAGTCAGCGCTGGCAGGTTGGAGCGGGGAGAGGGGAATCCAGCCCCTCCCCCCTGTCACGGCAGAGAGCCGTGACAGGATCGAGAGGTGAGCGAACCCGGTATGTGTTCGCTCACCTCCCAATCTACTGAGCCGAACTGTGACAGTCTCATTGTCACAGGTCGGCTAGAACTATGAGGTGAGTGGAAATCACTCATCTCATAGTTCTCCTTGAATAGTTCATACATGACAAAAGGTTCCTAAAGCACCATGTGTTTATTTAAGAACTTTCACAGGCTTCGGCATGTATAAGAGCAGTGTGAACAGCAAACTTTGAGCAGTGTGAAGACCACATCTTCAGTTACAGTATAATACAGTATGGTAATGGTAATCCCAGATCTAAATGAGAGTGCTGATTGTCACTTTAACCACTTGCTGACTGTTAAACCCCCTTCCTGTCCAGTCCATTTTTCACTAATCAAGCGCTGCGGTAGTTTGACTGACATTTATTTCGTCATGCAACACTGTACTGAAATTAATTTTATACCATTTTTTGGGGACAGATAGAGCTTTCTTTTGGTGGTATTGAATCACCACTGGGGTTTTTATTTTTTACTATATAATGAAAAAAGTTCCAAACATTTTGAAAAGAAAACTGTTTTCCCTACGTTATGCTATAAAACATTTATCAGTACCCAATTTTTTGGTAAAACATGAAAGACGGGGTTACGTTGGGTAAATAGACACCAAACATGTCAAGCTTTAAAATTGCGTGCACCCACGAAATCGCAGAAAACTACCATGCCTAAAACTGGCCATAGGCGACAATTTAAAAGCTTTTACAATTTTGTGTTATCAGTGATTAATGGCCCTAAAACTATTGCTCTCACTGCAACATTTGCGGCCATATGTAACATATGTGGCTTAGTCGTTGTTTTCACACGTAAGCGCACCTGACACGTATTTATGTTTATGTGCGTGCATGCATTTTTTGGGGTGTTTTTTATTTTTTTAATTTGAGATTTCATTTTTTTTTAAACTTTTATTTTTACACTTAACTTTATTGTTATCACATAAGGGGCTAACAAGGTCTTCTTTATGGAGACATCAGGGGTCTCTAGGACCCCTAATGTCACCGTACGAGCAGTTCCTGATTCTCGGCGCGGGAGCGCACAAAGAAAAAAAGGTAAGTTTAAACCGCTGTTTTAGCAGTTTTTTTTCTTAAAACTGTTTGCCTATATCTACTGCTTGAGATAGGCAAAAACGGGGGGGTTTAGAACCCCTTTAATACTATGTGTTACTGAACAGAAGGAGGTCAACAATAGAACCACACATATTCCTTTCACACGTTTCTTGAATTCTGATCCAGCTGGACTGCCTTGTAAACAACAGGCACAGCTGTAAATGGCATGTGTAATTGTGTATTCTTAAACTTTATGTATAGCCAAATTTTTTTTTTTGTTTTCTTTTGGGTAGAGTGCTAAAGGATTAAAAACCCTGCTGAGTTTGAAAGGTGTGCCATAAACCATACCCTATAAGAACACCAACCTTTCAAGCTGCCCACCAATCAATAAGGCCATGGCACACTTTACCTGGTACACTCTTTGGCCCACAAGAATCTGTCTCTACCATGAAAAAGCCAATTAGCTGTGTCTTCCCCCCAAGGGCAAAGGTTCTAGTCCTTCCCTGAAAACAAAGGTGAATGTTCCCAACGAGACATAACATTACCCTATCCAAAACTAAAAAAGTTTTGACTGTACATGCACTTTAAACATAAAACACAATCTTCTGCAGAGATCCAATTTCAGTGTATTTAGGGTGGCACACTTGCACTCAAGGTTAATGTATCCTTAGAAAAGAAAAGGCCCAGTTTTAAAATAAAACATAAGATGAGCACTTTGGCTCCAGTTCTATGCGGAAGATGAAATCACTTATGGAGTAATTTGCAGCTCTCAGTGGCTCAGGTGCATTGCCCACACAAGCAAAGTATAATACAAAATACATAAAAATACATTCATGTAGGTTGTATGCATCTAAAAAATCTCATAAAGTGTATGTAAGGAAGTCATGTAATTGCTGTTTTAGTTGAAGTTTAAACGCCCTTCATAGTTACAGGATCTAGTCATTTTGGGAGATTATTTCAAAGCTTTATTTTCTGGTGAACAGACAAATGCTTCCACAAGCAAATAATTATGACAGCCATCAACTCAGTATGAAAACGTAACAGCGGGAATCTCAGCCTGATATTTTGCATGCAGTGGAGGTTAAAATGCTGTACATAATGTTCTCTTCTGTGAATAATTTGCAATGAAAGAGTGAATCAAGTGCTAAGGACCCCACTAAGACTGCCTAAAGGTGCAGTCATCGGAAGCCCGACCCTCAGCGGGGTGGGCTTGCGATGATCGCAAGTAGGATCTGCCTGTCCAAGATGGGCAGATCGTTCCTTTTTTATAATTATCTTACAACCATCGCAAGACAAAAGTCTTGCAATGGTTGTAAGGTGTATGGCCATCTTCAAGCTGTCATTCTCTCAGGAAAAAACCAAAAAAGTAGATCAAACCAGTCTAACAAATAAATGTTCTACCTGGAAAAGCATTTGTACCTCATATGTTTCTCTTATTTGCAAATATTGCTTACGTATTTTTTAGGTAACTAACAGAAGATGGCATTGGAATGCTTTTTGTTTTTATTAAGTGTAAGTTGATCAAATTAAACCACAAAGATTATACCTGTCACTAAAAAAGAGAAAATCCACATATTGATCTAAATGGTCTCGTGTGCATTCAACAACACCTGTTTGGATTAAATAATTACACAATTGTTTTGCAAAAAATTCTGCACTCTTTTTTTCTTTTTATTGGTTGATTTACTTTCAACTGTGTTGTAAATTGCAAAAGAACACTGCTTTTTCTTATAATAATGGCTCATGCACACATCTGTATTTGTGAGCAAATATAGGCGTATTTGTATGCAGCATAAAATACACCTGTATTTGCGGAGCCTGGATTGCTGCTTTTTCCTGTCCTTAGCAATGTATGGACAGAAAATGCTGTACCTGGATATACACCCAAAAACATTGGAACTAGTGTTTGCACATGCACAGGCGTAAGTTTCCAAAGGCAAAACTTCAGCATTCAGAAACATAATGTACCGCGTGGAAAAGCTGGTACTGATATTTACGGGCGTACACCTGGGTACAGCGTTAGTCTATCCATTCTTTGCTATATACAGAAAACGCAGCAGCTGTGGCTCTCTGGCACCACAAATACAGGAGTATTTTACGTTGCATGCAAATATTCCTGGATTTATTCACTAATTCAGCCGTTTGCATGAACCCTAATCAGCAAATACAGCAAGATGTATTTTAGGGCTTTTAAGTGCATTCAGGTTGCATTTTCGATCAGTTTGATACCCTTTTTAGTACCTTGACACCTCCTAAGCCACATCAAGTTGCTTTTGCATTCCGATTGACTTGTATGGACAGAAAATACAGTACTGTACATTTGGACTCAAGCCCTTATATAGCAGTGTTCACTGTACAGCAGGCATGTCAAGTTCAAATGACATGTGAGCCATATTGAGTTAAATTTATTTAAGGGGCCACACCTACTTAACTGCAGGAAAATATGTCCTGAAATAAGGACCTCCAAAATTACATATGCAAATGCAGCTTTTATCACCTGAAATGCAACCAGGGCCTTGTTCAACTGAGATTCTTAAACCACTAAAGGTGCCCATACACCTATAGATTTTGTTCCAAAATCGTCCACGAATGGTATTTTGAACGACAATCGATTGATGGGACACCAACGATTTTAATTACTGTACTCCTGGCTGAATTTCCTCGATCGGTCAAGTTGGAAAACTTTTTTGGAATCGTGTGAAAATCGATGGACTACAAAAAAAAATTGCAGCAAGAACACACACACGCGCAAACGAAAATCCATTCTGCCAATCGACGAATTTCGGTGATTTAGTATTGCTAACGAATGATTATCGAAATCGACATTGCTCTGTTCTTGATGAGCTATTTGAGCTAGAATCGAAAGAGGGTTCTTGGCAGCAACGAAAATTGCAGATCGAAAATCTATAGGTGTATGGCCAGCTTAAGGGATGTAAAGCAAACAAGTAAAGGTCACATGTGGTTCAGAAAACATCAGCTCTACACAACTTCTCTGCAGTGATTCACAGCTAGCATCCAGTGTTACCTAATTACAGTGTATCCATTGTGTCTATAGCAAACAGCCCAGTTATGTTAGGCTACAGCTTTATATGCAACGTTCAATCTTTTTTTTTTTTTTTTTTTTTTTAAACCCCATAAATTGATTCATCGACGTAATCCATGGTCAATCACGGCGTCCAGCGTTGTCCACGATGACGACCATGACTTTGGCCTGTGGACACAGAGGCTGCTTGCCCTCTTATTGCTGCATGGGAGCATCTGCCTGTCCTTTTTTGACCTTTCTGAC